AAAAGAGCATAAGTAATAAATAAATCAATCAATCAATTATCAATTACCACAAATTAAAACACAATCATCATATTAATTAAATAATTCTACAATATTTCTAACTTCTTAGCAAGAGTTTATAACGACAAAATACACTTAATTATACACTCTTTTATCATACAATATATATATATATATATATATATATATATATATATATATATAACTAAACACATAACATTTCACGGTATAACTATCGAAAATTCAAATAAATATTTTGTAATCAGACAATTCCAAATAAATAAATATATATATTTTAAGGAGAACCATCCCGTAACGGGAATGGTAGCATTCTTCATATTTTAAAGAAAATTTAAGAACGAAAAATACATAAATATACCTTTCTCTCGGTTTCATTGATGTTCAATGGGCTGGCAAAATCAAGAATTAATAAAAGGCTGAACAAAATGAAGAACATCAGCAGCTTATGATCATTTGATGTCTTCATTGAACTTTTATTGAATTTTGTTTTTCAAAGCGTGGAATTATGGCTTTTGTGTGTGTGTGTTGTGAATTTATATATGCTTCATTTTTTTTATTATTTATTATTATTTTATATTTTTTTTTTTTAATTTTACTGAGAGGTTTTGGTAAGTAGTGTTACATGAAGAGTGATATATGTATATTTTTGGTAGGTTAAGATTTGTGAGAATTTATAGGCATAAATTATGGATCCAAATTACGACTTTTTAAATTTTACAGCAATATATATGTGTCTTTCCTTTTTTTTTATTTTTTTTTTTTACCAAATCAATTAATTTGCAATATATATTAAAGTTAGAGGGAAAAAAAGTGGAATTAAAATAGATGAGGTGACAAAAATATAGAAGGCAAATGTTTTAAATTTGGTTAGTGAATCAATAATATGAAAGGAAATATTTCAAAAATAATATTTTTTTTGAAAATGATGTACAATATTTAAGGAAATAATACAAAATAATATTTTGGAAATGTATATGCATGATGTACATCAATTACCAAATCTAAGATGGCTTTTTCATGAAGAGATGTATCAAAAGTAGTATTATTATTTGAAAAAAGCTTCGTAATTTTAAAAAGTAACTAATTTTTAGGAAAAAGAAAATTTGAGTGAAATTTTTTGGGTCTAAATTCGAACTTCAAGCCAATTTCAGACACAAAATATCGGGAGATGCTACGGTTTCGTTACGGAACTATTCCGTCGAAGTTTGTGACCATTAGATCAACTAGTTCTCGATGTTTACATGACGATCTAACGGTTACAAATTCTGACGGAATGATTCCGTAACGGGACCGTAGCATTTTCCCAAAATATCATGCGCACATCCTATTAATTTCCGAGAAAATTTGTTTCAATTTACTAATTTTCATTAAAACATTTTGTACTTGTTTGATAGCATTTTATGAATGTATAAACGTGCATATATTTCTTAAAATAAATTACTTAATATGGAAATGACATTATTTGTTTTTATAAAATTGATTTTTTTTGATAAATCAACTTGTTCATAAGTACATCATTAATATAACAATAATATATGATTTAATTATTTAAAATAAGACTTTCATCTCAAAATCATCAAATAATTTGTGAAATGTTTCCAAGGTTTTACGTGCAATTTTATCTTACTTTTTGGTTGTGTGTCTTCTTTACAAATTTGAATAAAATTTGTATTATTTTGGATTAAAAAGAAATGTAATTCACTTATGGACAAAAACAAAGGTGCAAATTAAAGGCATGACATTGCACATGATGAGTTTATTCGGTAAATTCTTGACAGGACACATGAGTATATTACATGCCAGTAAATCAAAATTAATTGATGATATTAGGTATGATAAAAAAAGAAAAAGAAATAAATATAACTTAATTACATTGAATAGGTCAACTTCTTCAAATATAAATTAAAATATAGTTAAATAATTTCCGATAGTATAAAAAATATTTTGAATATTAATGTCAATTTTAAATTTTTCTTTATTTTTATGATATATATATATATATAATAGAATAATTTACGATTTATATGTGTATTTCACCGTTATGAAATAAGTTTTATTTCATAGTTCCTACTGAGAAAAAAAAAAAGTTTAATTATTCAAACATTATCAATGACTAATACTAAAAAATTATTTTTATATATTTTTCTCTTACTTATATCTTATTTTAATATATTATTTTGATTCCTAAATAAGTGATGGTAAATTTAAAAAAGAGTAATGCTACAAGTACATAATAGTGTACATAAGGGTGTACATAACACTCACATTGAGTGGAACCCACTAAAAATACAAAATCAAGTGGACCCTACTCCATGTAAGTGTTATGTACACCTTTATGTACATTTATTATGTACATGTAGCATTTTCCTTTTGAAAATTGTGACAATATTATAAACTGTCATTTGATTTAAAAAGGATGTAGGTATATTATTTAACTTATAAATTTACTAATTTTTAATTACCTCATATATTTTTTATTTTTTGTATAATATATAATAAATTTTTTGTATCCCTCCTATATATAATTCCCGAATGCGCGGAGCCTACGTGGCTGCTTCTGGTGCTTCGAAATCTTACGTGGCGAAGAATCATGCTTCGTAATTAAGTTTGGACAAATATTATTGATATATTAATAATTAATAATCTAGGTTCGGACATTACATAAATATTATTTAGCTAACTTAGGTATTTTAATATCACTTGTACTAATATAACCTTTTAATTCTTTGTAATTTTGCATAGTGAGACACTTAGAGCATGCTTGGATATAAATTTGTTTTTGTTTTGATTTGGGTTGGTTAAATTTGAAAAAGTAGGTATGGTTAGTTGTTAGTGGATATAATAAAATAATATTTAAAAGAAAATAATTAAAATTAAATTGATGTAAAAGTAAGAGAGAGAAAATGTGATGTGATAGTTAGTTAAATTTATGTGAGTAGATGAATAGTAAATTAAGGTTGATGTTGTGTGTAAGAATGATTGATTGATATTATTTAATTATATTTGATAATATTGATGATAATGGATTGAGTTAAAGTTGAGTTAAAAAAGTGGTTGAGATAAAAATGTTTGGATTTTTCTGAGAAATTTTTGTATCCAATCATGCTCTAAGTGACTAATATATCCCTGAATTTTGATTTGTTTCTTTCAATTAGCTATTGAATTATAAATGTATTTTAAAAGTTGATAACTTTTGTTTTTCTTATCGGTTTCACATCCTCCCTATATATTATTTCTGAATGCGCTGAGCCTACATGGCTGCTTCTGGTGCTTCGAAATCCTACTTGGCAAAGAATCATGCTTCGTAATTAGGTTTGGATAAATAATATTGATATATTAATAATTAATAATATAGGTTCGGATATTTCATAAATATTAAATAGCTAACTTAGGTATTTTAATATCACTTGTACTAATATAACCCTTTAATTCTTTGTAATTTTACATAGTGAGACATTAAGTGACTAATATATCCCTGACTTTTGATTTGTTTCCTTCAATTAGTTATTTAATTGTAAATGTATTTTAAAAGTTGATAAGTTTTGTATTTCTTATCGGTTTTACATATATAATATATCAAATTAATCATCTTTTGATGATCTTCGATTTGACATCCATATTGTATATATAAAATAAAAAAATTTTATTTATCTTTATAATAATAAAAAATAATAATATTTACTAAAATTAATTAGAAAAATAAAATTATTTCTCAATTGATATATTTATGTTTAATTTAGTTATATGTTGTAAGTTAAAAAATTATTATAATATAACACAAGTAAGTCGCATAAATAAAAAAGTGTCATAATAAATATAATATAATATATATATATATATATAAAAGGTATTTAAATTTTCAATTTCTTTTTCTCATTAATTTTAGATTTTAAGAAAAAATTAGCAAACACCCGTGTAATACACGGGCGTTGCACTATTATATAATATATCAGATTAATCATCTTTTCATGATCTTCGATTTGACATCCATATTGTATATATAAAATAAATAAATTATATTTTTCTTTATAATAATAAAAAATAATAATATTTATTAAAATTTATTAGAAAAATAAAATTATTTCTCAGTTGATATATTAATGTAGTTATATATTGTAAGTTAAAAAAATTATTATAATATAAAACAAGGAAGTCACACAAATAAAAGTGTCATACTAAATATATAATATATATATATATATTTTAATAAAAGATATTTAAATTTTCAACTATTTTTTCTCATTAATTTTAAATTTTAAGGAAAAAATTTAGCAAACACCCGTGTAACACACAGGCGTTGTACTAGTAATATAATAATTCACATGGTAATACTACTCCGATTGATTTATCATTATAGTTTATAACAATGAATATTTTTATTTTTTTTAAGCACACAATTTACATCATTGTTCGATAGATGAATCATTGGTTTATTATTATAATTTATAATTATATATATTATAATTATTTGGATGTTACTTTCTAAGATTATGATTTACATTATATTTTGAGAAATGCTCACTGGTTTATCATAATTTATATTAATATATAAAATAAATATTTTAATTTGTATAAACTAATAATTTACATGACAGTCAACAAATGATTTGTTGATTTATACTTTTAATATTGTATATATGCAATCCTCAAAACAATTAATTTCTTACTTCTATTTTTATATTTTTTACCATTAGTTTTTAAGCCCATGAGGGTAAAAAGCAACGACTATTATAGACTATTTTATACTCAATATCTCATATTATATATACATTTATTTATATTTTACAGTATAAACATCTTAAGATTAATTATTTATGTTTAGTTCAGTATAATTTATAAATTCAAGTTCATTATACATCACCTTTATATATAATTCTCGAATGCGCTGAGCCTACATGGTTGTTTCTGGTGCTTCGGAATCCTACTTGGCGAAAAATCATG